ATGCTAGTTACACCCGGTGCACTTTGACAGAACAGGTTGCAAGAACGAAGAAACCAGCATACTGCCAACAGCCTGTTCACGAGGAAGGCCATAACCACACCATAGACACCATAAACAACTCAATACATAGAAGAGCTAATGAAACGTAATATTTTCTGGGACGTGACACCGTGCAGTCTGGTACAAGTTTACCGACGTTTCGGAAGATTCGACTCTGAAGATGGAGGCAATGTTACCCGAAACAGTGATACAATTCTACCAGACTACACGACGTCATACTCTAGTCAGTCAGTCAGCAGCGCGAAAACCTCAGTTCCAACACAAAATTTGGTTCTGAAATATCATACATTATATCAAAATTCTGATGGCATATTCTAGGTCGTAACACCGTATAGTCTTGTACGTGTAAACGAACGTTTCGTAGGAACATGCTGTCATCATCTTTTGAAGATGCCGTTTGGTTACAGACTACAGGAGGTCGCAAAGAAGACGATCACTCAGACCTATGCATCCATGGATCCCCTGAAACAACGGTATCTACCTGCACGACTGAACAGCGTCACAACCCAGGAGACCTGAATGTGATCACCGCAGTCATACAGCATCAGTTATTTGAACTAAAGACAACGTACGTACATCTGAATGGATAGATACTTCCATCTAGCACATCATGGCGAGGAAGACAGGCACTGTTAAAGTTTTCTGAAGAGCGCTTCCGAGGGACCCAGGATGGCTCAGTCGGTATAGTGACTGGCTGCGGGCTGAAAGACTGAGGGGTCGGAGTTCGAGTCCCGGTAGAGGCAAGAATTTTTTCTTCTCCACGTCGGCCAGACCGGTTCTGGGTCCCACCCTGCAGCCTATCCAATTGATACCGGGAGATCTCTTTTCCTGGGACGAATCCGGCCGGATCGTGAAGTTGACCACTCACCTTCAACTAGTGCCGTCATCAAGAAAACGTGGACCTATACATCCACTCCCCCATACGCCTTCATGGCGTAGTGTTTTAAGTTGTTAAGCAGTGTGAAAACCTTACCTTTTGCTTCCGAGGGAGCAATGCGCTGCGGGTCGGCCCGAGCTGATGGCAGGACTACGAGTATTCTGCTGCCATCCCCACTTACAGAGCATCTCAGTGTACGTGTCAAATCAGAGACGTGTGGACGATTAAAGGTTTCGGATATCTGTTCAGACCTGTTACAGCGGATGTTTACAATGGAAACCAATCCGAGATTTTTATTCCGTGTTCTTAACACTCACACAATTTATATGGAACACAAATTCTGGGCGCAAAATACAGTGTTGTATTGAATTCCTCCCTTTGGAAAAACACAACCCATAATTTTTTGACTGTATTTAGGATTTTTTTTTTAAATTTACATAAATATACGCCTACAACTCTCAACGTGAACTGTAATAGGCCTACGGTTTCTAAAGCCACTGTACTGCTGAACACGCACATGCTGTTTTCTGCAGAGGGTATTCATAACACTACGAGTATATATGTGGAGCGCAAGATCTACGGGCTCGATTTATGGTAATCGAAATGCGGCGAGACTTCATTCCGTCGCAACACGCACGTCAATGTCTAGCTCTGACACTACAGGTCCCAACGTGACTGCATGATGAGTACTTGTACTGGCTCCAGCTTATACACGTATTTCATAAATCCACTGACATTCAGCGATACATTCCACCTGCTTGCCTTTCATCACTGTCTACGAACGCACTGCAATTCGAATGTTATAACCAAGAACAAAGTTACATCAAAAATAAAAAGCTGTGGCAGCTGGCTTCCCACAGCGGCGGCCCGGGGAGGTCATGTGGGGTTTGTGGTGGACCAAGTGGCGCTGGGGCAAGTTTTCTCCGAGTACTTCGGTTTCCGCTGCCAATCTTCATTCCACCAATAGCTCCACAGTCATCATCATCTATCATCTGGGACTGGTACAGCATGTTAGTAGTGGACGCAGTACCAAATGGACTCAGTCTCGCCCTACTAAGATTAATATAAAAAAATACACACACAAAAAAAACAAAACAACAACAATACGTTTTTGGAATGACTAATCGCGTATTTTCTTTTGATACGACACAGACCGTTCAGAAAACGAAAGAACTGGGGGAGACACAGATAGACCAAAGTGATCTCATAAGCCCCAAAAATAAAGAATTTTGGGGAGTGGGGCATACAGAAGGATAATCTCATAAATTTCTAAACAAAAATTTTGAGGACGGACACATACACACGCGGATGCACAGACAGACAGCAATGTGATCTCACAAGCCGCCTTTTACTTTTTCAAAATAAGAAAAGTAGGGTAAAAATCGCCATTAAATAGAAGGAAGAAACAATGTAGCCCAATAAAGTTCACAAAATCTTAAGGGACAGAATGGGACACTGCGTGTTGCAGCCACATTCACGCCTACCAGCTCACTTAACAAAGAGATACTGTTTGCCCCAGTGAAAGCACACGGTTATCACTGGAAAGAAAACTTCCGCACCCATGGGAAAACAATTTCTACTAATCATGACGAGTGAATGTGACAAAATGTGCAGTGCTTTCTTTCCGTAGAAATGGAACATTGAACAGCGATGCAGACATTGCCACATGAAGGCTGCTTCTTATCCCACAATAACAAATGCCAAGCAACATTAATCGATATTTTCTTTCGAAAAGTGAGGACGTATAAATTGCGAAAAAAACTGCAGTACGTTCTGAACCAAACTATGCTCAGTGGAATGCTGCGGACTGGGCCGAGGCCTTCCACTCCTCATATTACGTCATAAGGTCTTCCCAATTCCACGAGGGGGAAGGAACTCAATGGACAGAATTTTGTTAATCTTACTTACTTATCGACGTCTCTTATAAAAAAGCGTATTCCTTATTTACGTCTTATCACTGCTAGATGTAAGTGATGACTGCTTTTATTATTATTATTACCGTTTCTTTGATTCAAAATCAGATTTTCACAATCAAATTGATTTCATATTTTCTGAATGCATAAGCTACTAGACATTATTCACCCCATAACCTTAAGATTTCCTACTCTAGACTGTTTATATACACTACACTATATGTTAGTCAGGTCCAAGCTCGAATATGCTTCGGCAGTCTGGAATTCTGTCACATCCAGTGGGAGTTTTGGTCCGTCTGTTCCTTATAGTTATACTGTTGCACTAGAGAAAATAAGTATACATTCTGGGAACATCACTTTGATGCATTTTTTTTGTTCAGGTCTATCGTGGCCTTAAATCCTGCGCTTCGCTTTTGGAAAATGTTAGCCTTCGTGTTCCTCCCAGCAATCTTAGGGACTTTTCACTGTTTGGTGTTTGTCCCTCTGCTCGGTGCGCCTGTGCTGCCAACGTGGTGGGTAAACATGTCGACATATTTGCAACTGCAGACGTTTCTCTCAATCACATTTTATAATCATATACTTAAACTTGTTAATAGTATTTATGGCTCTTATTCAAAATCTTAAAGCTCTTAGCTATTATGTTCTTTGTGTACTTCTCTTCATCTTTGATTTTGCTTGTTCACTTCCCTTGTTTTCTTTCTCCAGTGCTCGTCTGCAGTCTGTAGCTCTGCTGCTGCCAAGTACTTCAGTGGATGGACTTAATTATTGCGTTCACGTTACATATTATAACATATATCGTATCCTTGTAAATGCATATATTTTACTTTCTCACCTCTAAGCTATCACCTGATTTTATTATTATTATTATTATTATTATTATTACTGTTTTACTATCACCATTACTCAAACGTTATAAACTGCCTTGTTTCACTCGGGCTGATTTTGTAACTGGCCTTTGGGCTGTTGAGTTAGCATGCAAATAAATAATTGAATTATTATTGTTATTGAGCCTGGATCGAGTCAGTCTGTATAGCGACGGGCTGGCTGGCCGGGGTTCGATTACCGAAGGGACGAGAGATTTTTCTCTACTCCACAGCGTCCAGACCGCGGCTCTGGCGTCCACCCAGCCTCCTATCCAATGGGCAAGAGGGCTGTTTCCCCAGGGGTAAAGCGGTCAGGGCGAGTAGCTGACCACTCGCTTCCATCAAGTGTCGAGGCGAAGACTGGCGGAGTTATGCCTCTACTCCCCAACACGTCTTCATGGCGCGCTGCTTCATTAAGCATACGGACGTTATATTTATTATTATTAATGATATAGTATGACCATTTTCCATCATTAATACTGTTCTTAGTTCGAATTACGCCCCCCCCCCAAATTTTCAGAGTGTTCTGCAGAGGTCAACATGGCGTCCAGGAGACCGCTGGTCTGTACAACCATCTCAGCATGTTTCAGTCGCAAGTATCAGATCTCTACTCCATGCGAGATCTGAGGTTCCCGCATCCGTGTGTGGGTTGCGATCTTCTTGATGTGACGCCGAGTCATTTGGTAGTTGGGTACCGACGTTTTCGAGGAGCCTGCTGCCGCCAATTTCTGGACAGACGATGGACACCGCAAGTTCTCCGAAACGTCGGTACCCAACTACAACACTATCCGGCGTAACACCCGATAACACCGTATATTGATATAATAGCTTCGGGATTCGGCCTTCAGACATTCTTTCCATATTTTATAGCGAATTCCTTCAACGGTTGTTTTAGTACTGTCTGTCTCTCTCTACCTACCTACATACCTACCCACCCAGCTTTATAACTGTTGCTCTCACTCCAGCGTAGGGCATCCGTGGAACGCTTCGATTCACTAAGTTTCTTAACCTCAGACAGTCGGTAGGACTCCTTGGACTAGTGATCAGCCCTTCGCAAGGCCGCTACGTACACACAAACACAGAAAAAAACGCCGACAAACATCCATACCTCGAGTCGGATTCGAATCCATGACCTCAGTGTTCGGGCGAGCGAAGACATTTCATGCCCTAGACCTCACGACCACTGTGATTAGCTTTTATTACAAGAGGCATGCTGATAAGTGTTACACTTCCTGTCTAACATCTATAATGTCCGTCAAAGAAAATCACAAAAGTCAGGCATCTTACCTTCTTGAATTTCTGTTGGGGTCCTCGTCCTCAACACACACCCCAGCTCCAGAATCCTGCAATGCAACGAAAAATCGGTCAGTTACAAGAGTACACTATGCATACAAGGCAGCACAGAATGGCCTCTTGCAGAGCACACTCCAATATACTTGAGTTTAAGGAGCAAGATATAATCTTGCTGATATGTGAAAGTGTGTTCATCTTTAACTGCTAATTCGGCATACAAATTACTTTCTTGCTGAGCTAATACGTAAATAGGCCTAGACAGCGAAAAGTAGATCTTGGATAATTCATAAAATGAGGGCAGCTTAATAGCTGCTTGCCATTTAACAACAAAACCTAACACAGCACATATAAAACAACAAAGGCGAGCATAAAAAATACAGAATCAATAGAACATTAATTTGCAACTGCTATCCTAGTTTTTGCCAGGGGTGCAGGTTGTGTCACTGATGTGTCAGCCTGATGTTCAGCAAAGAAGGTTTCACAGCACACACACGCAAGCACAATGTGACAGAGGGATATGTGATTATCACGAAACTACAGACATTGTTCCCAAAGTTGCTAACTCAATGAATATGCATTATCAAGACAGATAATGGCGATGAAAAAAGAACGTATCCAAGACTTGGGAATGGATTGGCACCCTGACAGTAGAACTGGCTGTAAATCAAGAACACGAAATGTACGTTTCTTTGTAACTTCCCTCCAAACGCCGTCCCACGCTTTAGAAACAGCAATATTCTTCTTCAGTCTTGAGTTAAAAATTATCAAATCACGGGGGAAAAGCAGATCGTAGTTTGTCTTTTATTTCACAACACCGTCAGCATCTGAGACCAGGGCATGTAGCATGAATGGAGACACTCGATCGATCTGGCTCGGGATAGGGACAAGAGGAGAGCTCTTGTGAACACGGCAATAAAGTTTCCGAGTTCCATAAAATGATGGGAAGTTTTTGAGTGGCTGCACAATTGGCGGCTTCTCAAGAAGGGCTCAGCTCCATGGAGTTAGTTAGTCAGTAGCTGAGACTACACGCTGTGCAGTGGCTGGAAGATAGGAAACAATGAATTGGATAGGATGTGGAAGGGAGCTGCAAGGACTGGTGACACACACGGAAAACCTGTGTGAGGACAGCCGACCTTCAGCTTGAACCCTGAACCCCGACCAAGAAGGGTCGGTGAGTGCATACGGACGAACCGGGGACATCAGTTCTTTATTTTCTGACCGGTTTCTAGCATACAACATTAATTTTAGCAGTAAACTATATATATATAGGCTTATCTTCTGGGGTATAATGCTGGGTAAAAGGTAGGTTATTCCTGTGTTAAAGTAATTAAGCACTACGCCATGAAGGCGTATGAGGGAGTGGAGGTGAGTGGTCAGCTTCACGCCTCGGCCGCTTTACCCCCGATACCCATTGGATGTGGCCGGGGGGGGGGCAGAACCCATCTGAAAGACATGAAGAAACGAAAATTCTTGACCCTACCGAGACTCGAACTCCGACCCCTAGGTTGTCCAGCCCGTAACACGTCGCTATAACGACTGAGCTGGGTAGTCCCGAAAAAGTCAACGGACAATTCGACATCGACTTGTCCCTCTCCCATTTCCTCCTCTTCTCTTTCTCCCTTCCCCTCTGTTCTTTTTTTTTGTGTCTTCATTTCTTCTTCTACGAGCCTGCATTGCAATTCTGTGGAAAATATGAATGTTAGATTCTGTATAGCAGAGACCTGCACAACTGTGTGGGCGGGGGAAGAAAGTGACAGGATCCTCGGCAACTCTTAAATGCACCACGCCATGTGTACACAGTTTGCTGTCTGTTTAATCTGTAGCCGTGAAGATGGAGGCGGAAAATTCCACCGGAAGTCGGTCGACTTGCATCTGACTACACGGATTACACCGGGGCACGCGATAACGTAATTGGTTGAGGCACTATGCTACAAGCCCGAAGGTAGCGGGATCGAATCCCGATGAGGTCACTGGATTTTTTTTAATTGACCTAATCCTTCCAGCCGCACTATGGCCCTGGGGTCGACTCAGACTCTTAACAGAAATGAGTACCAGGGATATTATTCTTGGGGGTAAAGGGCGGGCGGCACGTAAGGCTGACAACCTTGCCGCCATCTATGAGCCGATTGCTAGAAAATGTGGGAACCTCAACATCTCACAACCCTATGAGCGTCCATGGCATGTTACAGGGATAACTCTACTTTTTTTTACATGGATTTACACCCCAGACGAAAGAATCCTTCACGAAACGTTAAATTTGGGAATAAACATTAACACCATTTGACGTATTTCTATATACTGTCACGTAGTATGTGTGACTATAGACGGGATTTGGATCGGTGACTCGATTTATTGACCACCTATAAATTCATGAGTCGTGACTACACTTTACAGATCACTGTCAGACACAGACTAGTGTCCTCAGTCTATTACAGTCTCTACTAGCTGTTTCCTAGCAGCGGATTTTAACGAAGAAACTATAACAATCTCACTCCAAATATCACACATAAAGTCTTTTCTTCACAGCCTCCCGTACAGAATTGCCTCTCAACTGCCTTGCTTATAACATTTCCGCACGGACCACATAGAAAACATTTCTTCTATTGTTACAAGGGTGCTTACCGCGTTGTTGTGTAGCAAAGTTCGCGGAGTGAACTACAGAAAACACATCTATTCTATTGTTTTGTGCGTGTTTACTGCGTTGTTGCCTACCAACGGCGGCTGTTTACAGAGCCACCCCTTAGCAACGGGTCTATATGTCACATTATTTAGCTAAACAAGACCACATAAATTACAGCTCTCACCCACTACCCATGTTTAAAATTAATTTACAATCAATTTGGACGTTTTGAGTTACTCTTCATTTTTTGTGATAATTCAAATTAACGAAATGCTCAATTTTGCTGAACTGCGACGCTATTTCCCATAACTATTTTAGCTTATTCAAAGTGACGTAGTGTCCTCAAACTTCCCAGAAGCAATTATGTTCATGACACGAGGCAGCGTTGTTTAATAGACAAACACCTCTCAGTTGAGCGAAACTGTTCTTCGACCGTTTAAACACTATTTCTTCACGTGTTGCAATGACGCAATTTCAAAGATGGAGCTAGTTTTTCAGAGCACATTTGAATTTATTACCAGTGAGAATACAAACAGATGTACTGCCAGGAGCGAAATGTAAGCTGAATGGCATTCGAGTAGAAAATGACGTTTTCTCTTTTTTGGTCGATATTTTTCTCTCGTTTTAGTTACTAGCACAGATGTTTCCACTTCATGTTATACGCTAAGAAGAATATGAAACCACTGAAACAGAACACAACTACGGACTTAATTAATTACATTTTGACAATAGCGGAAACTACACCGCAACATGAAAAATTAAAGCAAAAGTAGTATATTCTAAAGGGTTCTGATGATGGTGCATAACACACAGAATTACTGGGTTTTGGACTTTTCTCATCGTCCGGTATTCTAGGAAATAGAAAACACGACGTTTCGGAAACTGGATCTGTTTCCGTCCTCAGGTGAGGAGGGAAGACACCTACTCAGTTGGGTCCCTTAGAAAGAGCTAATCTCAATCACTGGACTGCACTCAATCGCTGGTGATTGTGATTAGTTACCCCCTCACCTGAGGACGGAAACAGATCCAGTTTCCGAAACGTCGTGTCTTCTATTTTCTAGACTACTGGACGACGGAAAAGGTCCAAATAGCCCAGTAATTCTGAAAGCAAAACTGTTGCTGTACTTAAGTACCACGTCATGTAGACGTATGTGGCAGTGAGGGTACAGCTCCACTCATTCTCAACATCGGCACTAAATAGAGGTGGTCAGCTTCACGTTCCGGCCGCTTAAACCCGAGTAAAGAGGTCCCAGATACCAATTCAAGAGCAGGATGAGTAAATGCCACAGCTGGTCTAGAAACAGCGGTGAGGAGAAAAATCTCTTACCCTTACCGGGAATCAAACTTCGATTCTTCTGTTTTCCAGTCCGTAGCCTACTCCTACATCGATTGTGCTATCCCAGAACAATGAAAGTACTAACGGTATTTCCTGTTCATTATGTACATAAAAAACAACTTGTTTTGTTAGTGAGTTTGTAAAATAAAACTAAGGCCCATGCTTGGACAATAAGGTATGACAAACGTACGGGTGAAGACATACAAGTAATTATAAACCATCAGACGTTATTACTTTTTAAATTAATTGGCGTGCTACACTGAATAGTGCAAAACCAGTCATTTTCACGACAAAAGAACCATTTTCAGGGCCATATTTAAAAATGACGAAACCAATGGCATCACCATTATATATATATTTTACCACAGTCAATAATTTGTGGAACGGCCGCAAGGCGTCGTACGGGAATTTACTGCCAATATGTTTCAGCAATGTTTTCGACAGCTATATCAACGTTGGCAGACTTGCATAGCGGCCAACGGCAACTATTTTCAGGGCCGATGTGGATCTGCGTTAAGTGTATGTGAATACCTTGTAATATGTTGCTATAAAACCACATTCCACGAACTTAATGACTCTACCACGTACATACTCATTCATCAGTAATCTGTCAGACGACAGGTCCACAGTCTCTTCCAAAACAGTTCCTCCACTTAATGCGATCTTCTGTTTTTGGAAAGAGACTATCCAGGAGAAGTGATAATGTGGTAGTTTTTCCATTTGCTTTCCACATCGCAGTACAACAGCCATTCAAACCACTCTGGTCACGCCTGTTGCTATACGAACTTGAACCATCTCGGGCATCATTTGCTCTGTGCTTCAAGTCGCTGCTGATGACGCTGCTTCCGGCATCAGTTTTGTTTTTTTGGTGTCTCTCTTCATCTGATGCCTACCCTTTGAACTGTCCAGCAAGGGAGGCCCTGCCAGTAGCTACGCTACCGCTGGTATAGCTCTCAGGGTCCTTGGCATACTCAAACCCCCTCACCACGATAAGGTGGAGACACCAACTAGGGGTAGCATAAAATCCATCAAGATGACACTTTCTCCAGCGCGCGAAATCATTTCTGTAACACGCGAGAATTTCAAATTGCTCA